AGGATTCGTGAGAAGCTCATCATCAGGGATGTTTCCCAGACCGTCGCCAATAGCCCATTGTGCAGCTCTAGTGCGACGTAAATTAACAACAACAACAACAATAATTAAATATATTTTAAATTTAAAAACTGCTGTATTCCCAGCAAAATGTCTAAAAAAAGACAAACTATTCACTCAAAAGAGAGAAATGCCATATTTATTGCTGAAAAAAATGTACATAAAGATTGCGAAATAATTATTTTTGTCATTTGATCGCCAAATAGAACCTTGTTCAGTGTTCAGAAATAGTATCGTCAGATACCACGTGAAGAAGGCGAAGCCTAGTGAAACACAAGTAATAAATAAACAAATGCAACGTTTGCATGAACTACTATTCAAAAGAATCTCGAAACACATTGAACACCTTCTGAGACAAATTACTTCAAAATACACCAGAAGCTAGCTTGCAAACAATAATATAAATTGATTCTGGTGACCAAGCCCAGAAGTAAAGTAAAGAGCCTGCAGCGCTTCCTAGTGTAGGAAACACCATCTATAGAGGAGCCTTACGTCCAATCACTCAACCACACAACCTAAAGATAAGCGAGCTACAAGCGTAAAATAGCTAAGTGCTCAAAAAACACCGTGAATTATCATCATCCATACAGTTGTTTAGTTTTTGGTAGTCTTTTTGAGACTATTTAGTATTATTGTATTTTCTGATGTATTGCTGTAAAAGATTTTTAATTTAATATATTTCTTTTAGCTTACTGTTTAATTCTGTTTGTTGCAGTTGAAGAAATGGATCTCTCGGGGTCTTTTTTGAATTTAGGTACGCCACTTTCTGTGCCATCACAACCAGATCCCGTAGAAGAACAACACATTCAAGAACTCACTCGCCAACTGCAAAATTCTCCTCTTCCTCCTCCTCAGCATGAAAACTTACATCAAAGTCATCCACAAACCCCGCAACACATTCAACAACAAAGGACTGGAGTTAGTGTTATACAGCCTTATACTTCAACAAGTGGGTTGACTCCTCAGCCATTGTTGCAACCAACTGGATCTGTGAGTCTTTTAATATTAGTTTATAGTTTTATATTATAATCTTATGCATCTTATAAATAAGCTAATTGGAAAATAAATAATTGGAAATAAAGAACCAATCACATAATGGTGAAAAAAAAGCTGTGGTAACCCTAAGGTGACATCATTAAATGTATAAAGGGCAATGCAATGAATATCATGGTAACTAAAAATGGGGTTTCTGGCAAAACTGAACGAAAATTATCGCCAAATCAAGGAGCCCCCAATTGTACATCTGAACCGTCTTCGTTTTTTTAAAATTACTTTTGAAAGAACTACTTTTACAATGAAAGGAAAATTTCTGTACAAATATCTATGTCAAAATAATTGCCAAGTTTTTACCACTTCCTGCTAGACGTGGCCTGCAAAAAGCTATAAAGTAACAGAAAGGAACCACTTATAACCACCCTCAGACAAACACCAGCATATTTTTTGCTAGTTAAAAAAGGAGGTGAGGGTAGTAAGCATGAAAAGATACTGCTACTGAAGTATCCCCTTTTCTTGAATTATTCTATTTAGTGCTTTATCTTTATAAATGATTTAGTGTAGGGGTGCACAACCTGCGGGCCAAATGCGGCCCTTCGACTACTGAAGTGCGGCCCGCGAGAGCTTCTGAACACAATAAAAAAATTTTGAAAAATGGGAATTTTTAATCGCACTTTTAAGTTATCACGTTTTGACACAATCAATTTTAACAGATTCTTTAGTAAATGTACATTTAACGCGCTTTCTTTAAGCCGGTTTTATCGTAAATATAAATGATTTTTTTAAACAGTTATTTCCGCTATTCTACGTGATTTCGAAAATCCCGAATTTTTATTACGACGCGAGTTCAAGATCGCAAATTTAAATAATCACCTTTTGTGCACTGTATTTGTGACGATTTCATCTTAAATCTAAGTGATTTTTTACCTTTTTTTTTTTTTTGCAATTCTTTCTTTTTTTTCAACAATTTTACTCGGCAGTTATTGCTATGCGTTCCCACGTATTATAAAAAATTCCAATTATTCTATTACGACATGCAAATTTGAAATCATGCATTTGACAAGCTTCATTCGTGCTGAGTTTAGCATAAATATATTTTTTCCCAATTATTTCTATACTTTTCCACATGATTTTGACGATCCCGTTATTTAACTATGATGTTATTACGACACGTGATTGTTAATTGCGCAATTAAATACTCACTTTTTGATATGGTGTTTCGGTACGGTTTTATTCATAAATCCTAGTTATTTTTCCTTCGTTTTTATTTCCGCAACGAATATGATTTGGTCGAATGTGGTAATGAATTGTGATTTGATCAAAAACCAAATATTCGGCAAAGAAAAACAAAGAAGAAAAAATCGACTGAACGCCGTACACTTGGGGCCAAATAGCGAAATCTTTTAGCAGCATAGCCATAGCAACACTGAAACTAAAATTTCAATGCTCAGAATAATATTTCCTGGAAAAATGTATTCATAAATTAACTCTAAAGAATAAGGCCAATCAAGAACGTTTTTGAAAATGTCGAAAAGCGAAACAGAGAACATAAAAATCAATCTTAATTTTTGAAAAAATTTTTTAAAGCTGAACATCTCAGTTTTTCAATTACCAGAAAAAGCCAAGAAAAAAGAATTAAGTCAACAGAAATGCTATTAAAAATTACTGCGTTATAATGAAAACCTCTAAAAAAAGTTTTTTTTTTATTGAAAGAAAATAAAAAGATAGAAAAAACATTCTTAATTTTTTAAATGAAAATCTTATGCCGAAAATCTCAATTTAAATTTTTCTCATTGCCATAAATTTAGAAGAAGAAAAAATTACTATAAAATAAATTTTATTTGTAACTTTATTTTTAAAAAAAATGCTGAGTCATAATAAAGATGCCTAAAAAAAGAAAAACCGAAAAAAACAAATTTTTCTTAGTTCCTGAAACAAAACTTTAATACTGAAAATCACACTTTTCTATGTTACTGGTTATGGAAAGAGTGATAATAAATTAATAGTGTGAGACGTTCTGTTCAAATGCTGGGTTATAATAAAAACAGTAAAAAATGGAGAAAAAAATTCTTCTCAATTCTCAAAGAATTGAAAAAATGACAAAATTGATTAGTCTGATTATTATTTTTTTTAAAAAAAAGTAATATCAATAAAAATTCAAAAATAAAAAAAACTTAGAAAAATACATTTCTAAAAAATATTCTACCAAATATTTGACTGATCATTCAACCAACTGAATTTTTCACTGAAGGGCCAAATACTCGTTACATCCCTCCCTAATTTAAATGCAATGTTATTGCAACTTGAGAAATTCATAAAATGGTGGAAAATGTGAATTTTTAAACTGCTCACTGTTTGTAGTTTAGATTTCAGTTTTTTGTTGCTTAAGTGATCTTTTTCGATTAAAAAAAAAGGAAAATGTTTACGATATAAAAAATCTAATAATTAATAAAATAAAATAATAAAGTACATTACAAAATAAGCATTGAATTTTATTTTGAACTATCACAGTTTTGTTTTTATTTTAGGCTTTTGTTTAAAACCTATAAATTTTCTTCAATTAAAATATTTAATTTGAATTTATATTACTTAATTACGACTAAACTTTTTCCTACTTTCATTCTGTGGGCATTGCAGTTTTTTTTAATTTATTAGAATTTAATTCTAAAATGAGTTTTCATATTGCATGATATGATAAAAAAAAATATTTCTTTTCTTCAATGTTTATTTATTTTGATAAATCTATTGTTCATATGATAAAAATAGCAAGTTTTTTTTTGTAAAAAAAAAGTATAAGTTTTTTTTATTTTTGAATGAATTCTAATAATGGAACACTACTAAGTTATTGGTATTACTAAGTTTATTGATAAAAAAATGGAACGCTAATGTTTAAATAAACATTATTACATTTGTCATTAACATGTCTAAATACATGTGTGGCCCTTCGTTAGCCAACCTGCTGTGCAAGTGGCTCTTCACTCAAAAAGGTTGTGCACCCCTAATTTAGTGTAAACTTTCTTGTTATTGCAAACTTTTCACTCAGTAGCAGTAATTATCCTAACTTGGTCGTTTCTTTCCTTTTGTGCCGTATTACAGTTAGGAACCATTCTGTCAAAATGCTTGATTAGACTTATCACAATTTTATAATTTAACTGCTGTAATTTTTTCATTAAAAAATGTGAAATTTTTTCGCAATTAAAGGGTATAATGTAGGGAGACACTTTCTTATCTGAAAGGCTACTTGTACAACAGAGTGAATAGTGAAGAACCACATGCCAAATCTAATTGGGCATGTTAATAGCAATTGTAGTATTATTCTTTAAATATCAGTTTTCTAGGCACTAAATTTTTTTTTGTTAATCAGCTTTGTAATATTTGTTGTATATTAAAATAAAAAAAAATGTGAATTAAAATTGTAATTTTTTTTAAATATTATCTTCTTATTAAATAAAGAAGAAAATGTTAGTAATGTGAAAAAATAATGTTTTTTTTTTTTTTCATCATATTGCATAGCACAAATGTCCATTTTAAAATAAATTGTTACAATTAAAAAAAAAACATTCATGTTTATAGAATTAAAGTAAAAAAATTTAATTTAATTACTTTATTTAAAATACTTTCTTTTAAAATATCTAATTAATAAAATTTACAGGATTGATTGAATATTACTGAAATTAAAACGAAACAGTTATAGTACAAAATAAGATTCAATATTTAGTAGGGTATGTATTTAATTGCAACTTTAAGACAGTTATTAAGTAAAATATAAAGGGTTTTATAAGTTTTAAATATTTTTTTCAACAAAATAATTTTTTCAAGCTGTAAATATATAAAACAGAATTGCAAACAATTAAAAATGAATGTTTTTCTCTACCATTCAAATTTCGTGAATTGTAAAAGATATCATGATTTTAAATTCCACATAAAATTGCATTATGCTAGCTTAAAAACATATTCTAAAATCACTTGTATTTTGATTAAATCAGCTCTAAAAAAAGGAAATGTATTATTAAATGGTGATTTAAATGTGTTTCAATATTCGAGAGGCATAATAATAATGTATTAAAATGATTTTTGAAACTACCATGAATTTGGTTAACAATAACTGCTGCTGGAATAATCACTAGAATTAATTTTTGTCTGTTAAAAAATTGGCACAAATAAAGCATTAGTGAAATAAATTATTTGAATGAACATGCAACTTGAATCACACAAGTTATAATAATATCAAGATTTTAAAAGCCACTGGAAAATCCATAGCATTAATTGCTGAAAATATCGATCGAAAATCACTCAGATTTTTGATGAAATTTGCACAAACAAGGCACTTCAATTTAAATAAACCATTCAAAATGCACGAGATTAAAATTTCATATTAAAATATTGCCATTATAGAAACCATGTGGATATCCTAAACAATAACTACTGAAAAACTAATGAAAACACATTTGGATTTACAATTAAATCAGAGCAATTAAAGAGTGCCAAAAATAATTATGTCAATTCCAAATTCATATGCCCTAATACATTCTATTAAAAATAGTGGGATCTTTTAAAACTATGAAATCTGCTCGAATAACTGCCGAAAAAAACTGATGTGACGATCATATTCATTTAAGAAAAAACTGCGAAATTAGCATTTCAAAAACTCAAATGAGCAATTTAATACCAGATTATTTTTATTTTTTGAAAAGAATGTTTTTTTTTCTTTCTTATAAGTTCTTTTTAAAATATATTATATCTTAGGAATGACAAAAAGTTCAAATTTTAGTTGTCAGGAGGAATAATTTAGAGTCAGCTTAAAAAGTCTTTTTCTTTCCCCTAACTTAATGACATTTACTGCAAAGAAACGTCAACAAAGCATTTTGATTAGTCTTTTAAGAGATTAACAGTGTTTTTACTACATCTTGAGAAATTCACATGTTTGTTCCTTACATTCAACAGAGATTAGATTTTTCTATTTTTTAGAAGATTTTCTTTTTTTTTCCCTCTCAAAAAAAATAATAAATTAAATTTTTTATTAAAGAAAAAACAAACTATTTATATATTTTTTTCTTAAAATTTTTAGAAAATTTAGCTGTTTAAAATAAAATAATAATTGTTTTATTTCAATTTACAGGCATTTTAATTACCCATAAAGGCTGAGTCATTAATCAAAAATTGGACTGCCCAAGTTGTAGAAATGCCTGTTTCATTGGTAATTACTTTAGAGCTGTGTCTAGTATTTGGGCGGCGCCTACTTGCCCTTTTTTAAGGATAGGCAACTAATGGCTACTTTTTTTTTCATGTAGAACAGTTTCAAAGCTAATACTTTTAAAAAAACTCGTGAAACTTAACTTATTGAAATAATATTTCATTTCCCAAAATTGCGAGTTGGGAAGAATCTAGTTATTGAATTCAAATAAGAAATATTGTAATTCATAATATAATTCATAATGTAATGTGAAAATAGCCACAATTTTCTCGTCTAGTTTTTATAGAATTTTTGTGATTCAGGAAAGACAAAAAGAAAATACTCTAAGTTGAAATTCATATTAGTGTAAAATAATATATATTTTTTAATAGAAAATTGTGTATTGGAAGATGTGTGCTTATTAAGTGAATTGTTCAAAATTAATTATAATTAGAAGAAATAATATTCCTTCATTTTTTTTTCCAGCCTGTTGCAACTTCTTTGCTGCCTGGTCCTAGTGGTTCAATTTCCCTCACACCCAGTGGTGCAGGGAGTGGCTTATTTCCAAATACTCCTGGTGGTCCTATGACACCCATGACCCCGATAACACCCTCTTCAGCTGATCCCGGTATTGTGCCTCAACTTCAGTGAGTAGTTTTTTCTCAAAAACATTTATAAAATTTTATCTTTCAAGCATTTTATTTATTTTGATGATTGAGTTATTAAAAGGTATCCTGACAATATCAACTAATTTAAAAATAAAATATTTCGATGTTACGATAATTGCGAAGTTTTAGTTTGTTAAAATTGTCTCAGTGAAGACTAGTTTATATACTAGTTTTTGCTGAACATAACTAGATAATATATATATTCATATATATATAAAATTAACAGTATATATATGTATATGTATGTATGTATGGATGGATGGATGCATGCATGCATGCAGGGCCTGATTACCGAAAAGGCACAGGAAGCAAGTGCTTCCCCAGTAAAATTCTAGGTGGGGCCCCAAATGACTGAAATTAAGGGCCCAATTTCTTATTTTTTGCAAAAGAAATACGTAAAGAAGGGTCCGACATGATTGCATAAGATCTCTGTATTCCTTTCTAAGGTTCTAATAGTTTTCACATGGTTCTTGTCTCTTTAAAATGTATTGTTTATGGGCGAAAAATATCAAAAGTTTCTTTTGCTCAAGTTAGGGGGGCCCCAAAATCCTANGCACAGTTCTTCCAAACCTATTTTTGGTCTCCCGCATTACAGGAGTACACGGTATTTCAAACTTTAGAGTCTTAGTTATTTCAGAAGGTTGTAATAATTCACTTTCAATGAAGGCAGGTTTCACACGATCTATGGAGATTGTCGACTTCCGACCTCTAATATCAACTTCAAAAGTTTTATCAGTTCTCTGAATCACTTTAAAAGGTCCATCGTAAGGGGCTTGCAAGGGTTTCTTCACAGCATCATTCCTAATGAAGACGTGACTACATTCTTTTAAGGCTGGATGCACAAACACTGACTTTGTAAAGTGGCTGGAAGCTGGAGATGGTCTGATAGTAGAGAAATGTTTCTTTAAATCCTCGACTAGTTGAATTGGGGACGAGTCCATTGTTGTTGAGTCAAAAAATTCTCCTGGAAGACGAAGTGTTGTCCCGTACACGAGCTCTGCTGATGATGACTGTAGATCTTCCTTATATGCTGCTCGAAAACCCAACAGGATAGCTCGTAAGGCGTCTGACCAATGGTCTGTACTGTAGGCCTTGAGTGCAGCTTTCAAGGGTCGGTGCAATTGTTCTATCATCCCATTACTTTGAGGATGGTAAGGTGAGGATCGAACTCTTTTGATGCCCAGAAGTTGTGCTAGCGCTTTGAAGAGTCTACTTTCGAACTGGCAACCCTGGTTGGTCGTTATCACTGAAGGTGATCCAAAGCGAGCAATCCAGGTTTTGAAGAAAGCTTCCGCTACTGTCTCCGCTGTAATGTCAGGAATTGGAACAGCTTCCACCCATCTAGTGTATCTGTCGATCATTGTCAAGCAGTATGAAAATCATTTAGATGGTTGTAATGGGCCAACGATATCGAGATGAATATGGTCAAAGCGTTTGGACTGTATTGGAAAATTAAAAATAGGGGATTTAGTATGCCTTATTATTTTAGATTTCTGGCATGGAATGCAGTGTCTAGACCACATATTACAATCTCTATTCAAATTAGGCCAAATAAATCTATTACTAATCAATTTATTAGTTGCTTTTATTCCAGGGTGTGATAAGTAATGAATAGTATCAAATATTTGTTTACGAAATTGTTTTGGAATAAAAGGTCTAACGTTTTTAGTAGAAATATCACAATATAAAATAGTGTTCGAATCTGGCATATTTACTTTTTTAAAATCCAAACTTTGAGGATTTTTGATTAAATAGTTCAATTCTTTGTCATTTTCCTGAGCTTTTGCAATTTCGCTGTAATCTAAAGGATTTGGCATATTTTAGATGCTATTCTTGATAACGCATCTGCAGCTATATTGTCAGAACCATTTAGGTATCTTATATCTGTTGTAAACTGCTATATAAAATCTAATTGACGAGGTGAAAATTTATCTAACTTTTGCTTAAATGCATAGGTGAGGGGTTTGTGATCTAACGAACGAAATTTACAAAACGAAATTTCGTGCTTCGAGCATGTACCTGAATTGCTTGATTGAAGCGTATGCAGCAAGCAACTCCCTATCATATGCGCTATAACGTTTTTCAGTTTCGGATAACTTGCGCGAAAAAAATGCTAACGGCTGAAGATGTTCATTTTCTGTTTGAAATAATGCTCCCCCAATAGCAAAATCCGAGGCATCTACTTGCAATAGCAGCGTAGCGTTTGCTAAAAGAGTTTTGCAGTTTTGAAATTCGCCTATTGCTTGTTCTGACCAGTTAATCATATGATTATCATTGCGCCTTGAGCCTTTTAAAAAAATCGTTTAAATGAGTTTGGTTATAAGCTGCGCGAGGTAGAAAACGACAAACAAAATTTAGATGTCCGAGAAATCTTCTCAATTCCTTAATCGTTTTTGGTTGTGGGTAATTTAAAATAGGGTCTACTTTATTGGGTAATGGTTTGGTGCCATCCTTAGTTATTAAGTGGCCTAAAAATGAAATTTCTGGCACACCAAACGGACATTTTGATACATTTACCGTTAAATCGTATTCGTTTAATTTTTGAAACACGGTTCGAACATGCGTTTTATGCTGTCCTTTTGATTCATTAAAAATAAGGATATCATCGAGGTAAACATAGCAAAAAGGCAAATCTCCCAGAATTTCATTCATGAACCTCTGAAAAGTTTGCGCGGCTCCACATAGACCGAAATTTAAGAAAGGAAACTCAAAAAGCCCAAAAGGCGTACACACAGCAGTTTTTTGTATGTCATCTGGGTGTACTGGGATATGAAAATAAGCACGGACAATATCAATCGTTGAAAAAATATTTTTGTTATTCAGAGCGTGTGTAAAATCTTGTATATGGGGAATAGCGTACCGGTCCGGAGTTGTCACGGCGTTTAATTTCCTATAGTCTCCAACTGGTCGAATACTTCCCGAGCTTTTAGTAATGACATGGAGTGGAGATGACCATGGTGACTTCAAAGGCTGGCAAATACCCTGCACTAACATAAACTGAAATTCTTATTTTACAACATCGTATATTTTTGGACTTAATCGCCTAGGTTTATTGTGTATAGGCGGACCAGTTGTATCGATGCAATGCACAGTATTATGACACGCCTGCTTAATTCTTGGTGTTAATTTCGGAAAATTTGATAATAATTTATGATAATATGTGTCACCTGAAAATAATTTTACTGAAAAAACATTAGTTTTGGCAGTTATGCCCAATTAAAAAAGATTAGTGACACCATCAATTAATTTACGACGTTTTAGGTCTATCAACAGTCCAAAGTGCTCTAAGAAATCTGCTCCTATAATTGGAATAGGCACCGTAGCAACTAAAAATTTCCATTTAAAGTCTCTTCGTAATCCTAAATTAATGCTCAATAATTTACTTCCAAAGGTAAAATTTTTTGAATTATTAACTGCAGTTAACTGTAAGGGACCAGGATGTAAATTTTTAATCATTTTTGGAATGGACAAGCAGCTCACATCTGAACCTGAATCCACTAAAAATTTTAAATGAGTTTTCTTATCATATGCAAATAAGCGACACGAACGTATGGCTGTCGGATCATTTGTCGCTGTAACAGCGACAGCCGGTTTTAGTTTTCCTGGTTATTGTTGTGTGAACACGGTGAACAACATTTTCTAGCTTTTTGGCCGAATTTCGAATGATAAAAACAGATTTCAGACGTTCCTTTCCGATCCCTAGAGCTAGATGTATATATACGAAGATTATTATATCTTGTTCGAGAACGATTGCGTGATCTCTCGCGAGAAAATTTTTCAACTTGCTGGCTAAGTGCAGCTATTTGCTGGCGAAGTGCACATACTTCCTGATATAGCGGGTTTGATGTTGACGGATTTTCTCGTGTTTTTGCCGAGAGTAAGGGATTCGAACTCGTTGCGTTATTCGTTGCACAAACATTTTGAAGGGAATCCGTTCTAACTTTGGCTATTTTATCCGCTAGCTTAGCTAAATTTTCTAGCGACTCTGAGCTAACGGAAAGAATTGTTTGTATCTCTGATGGTAAACGCTGCAGCCATAAGGTTTTAAAAAAATCCTCTTTTAAAGATGTACCTGCCAGCGTTTGTATTTTCCTCAATAAATGGGACGGTTTGTCGTCTCCTAATTGTAATTCAGAAAGAAGTTTACGGATTTGTTTACTTTCAGAGTCTGTAAATTCCGCGATAAGTCTTTCTTTAAGAGTATTGTATTTATTTGCAGTTGGAGGATTAAACAAAATATCTGAAACTGCTGATAAAGTCTCTGGGTCTATTGCTGCAATGATATTGTTATATTTAGTTTGGTCGTTAGTAATTCCTGATAAATCAAAATTGCTTTCTGCCTGAACAAACCAAAGTTTGATATTATTTCTCCATATTGGTGGTAGTTTAACAGCTATACGAGCAATTTGNTTTTCATTTGTCTATAATTTTCCTTTGTTTTATCTTCATTTTGAACTTATATATATATTTATAATATATAGACTGTTAATTTTAAAACAGATTTAATTAATAACCATATTCATTCCTTCAATTTTATTTTAACAAAATTATAAACAACTTAGAACACTATTTATATTTTATTTTTGATCTTAATATTAACTCTGATTTATTTAAGATGAAAACTAATTATGCTTCACTGTTCAGGAGGGAAGAGTTTGGATGTTATGACTTTTTATACTAGAGTAATTAAGTGAACTTTTAATTAGTAGCCCTTATTAATTTTTATTGTCCAGTGTAATAAACAGTTAAACTTAGTAATTATGGATAAGGGATCTAGCCTATAAAGGGACAACCCCAATGAATGCTGGTAATATGGATGAAGTCTATAAATGACTTTCTCTCCCTGCATGTAGTCTCTGATTTCACCCTATGAAAAAAGGAAAGTCAGTAAAATGGTTTATTCCTAGTTGTATGTAATAATGCTAAATGTATGTAAAGTCTAAAAAATATTACTAATATGGATGATATTTGTTTGAATTATTTTACTATTTAAATACTATAATTTATTCATTTTTATAAACTTCTTCTCCTATTATGGGTTTTTGTTACCTACTTGTTTCTGAATATTATTACTCTTAGTGTTGTTTTTAATAAATGGCAGCATAGAAATTTAATTTGCCATTTTTTGCCTATTATTTTATACAGTTAAGCTAAAAGCCCATACTTTATTTTTTTCCTTCTTTACACTTTTTGTTACTAACAAATGAGTTGATCTATTTTTAATACAGTTTTTATATTATTTTACTTTTTGTCTGTAAGTTTGTCATGATAACATTTGTAAGTTTGTAAGTTAGTTCTTTCATTTTAATCTCATTTACAATTACATAATTTTTTCTAGATATTGGTGCATTATGAAAAGTAATTTTTATCTTAGGATAATAATTCTTCATTTTAAAATGTCTCTGTCTTAAAGAAATGTATCCTGAAGACAACCTTTTTGTTTTTATTGTATTTCTATTCTGTCATGTTTCTCTCTCTCTCTAGTATTTTAGTTGAATAAAAAACTTATTTGTATGGGAAGTAGCATTCTGAAATGCAAAATTTTTGGTTCAATAGGATACACAGTGTGATGTAATTTTAAATGTTAAATTTTTTAGACAACTTCCTCCTTTTACATTACCTGTAGTTAAGGTGTCACAAAAATATCACTTTCTTAAACTTGAAGTGAGTACGAAATGCGGGTTTCTCTTAAAACATATTTATTTCATAAACACAAACATCAATATAACATAAACTAAATTAAACATTATGGGTCATCCTGCGACCAAGCTAGCTAGTGAAGAAGTTGAAAAAGTAAGTGGCTGTTCTTCCTCTGAAGGACAGAATATATATCATTAGGATCACAGGGTTGCTTTTACCTGAAGATCTTAAATCGCCAAGCTGGCGGTAAGACTGGTGAGAGTGGTGAGCACCGCAAACTCTTAATGTTTCAATTATTTCTAATTACTGATTTTCATGCTCTATGTCGTATTAACAAATTAAAAGGGAGATGAAAGGCATTTAAGACATGGTGCTACAATATAACTTAAAGATATTAAATATAACAAACAGCCATTTAATGTTTTAGACAAAGTCTTGAAGTTCAAAATTTTTATTTTAAATTTCTGATTAATATTTTTTTTAAAATAAATACACTTACTAAACACATATTTCAAAATCAGATATTTAAAAAATATTTATTAAATTGCTTGTGAATTATTGCAGTTATTTAAACTAGATTCCTATCACAAACTTTTTAATTTTTTTTTTATTTAAGTAAAATAATTTCCATTTTTTTCCACTTGCATTGGAAGAAACCTTTTTCTTCTGGTGTGGTTTTTTTCATGGTTTTTTCCATTACGTATGAACTATTTTATTGTGTAAAATAAAAAAAATAGGTTTTTCAGCTGATTTTATAAAAAATTTTCTTTCACTCACTTAAGGAATATTGTGTCGACCGTGAATCTTGGTTGCAAATTGGATTTGAAAAAGATTGCCCTTCATGCTAGAAATGCGGAATACAATCCAAAACGTTTTGCTGCTGTTATCATGAGAATAAGGGAGCCCAGGACAACAGCTCTCATTTTCAGCTCTGGTAAAATGGTGTGCACAGGGGCCAAAAGGTAATTGTATCCTTCTTTCTAGACAATTAATGTTTTAATAGACAGAGTTAGTTACTGTATCAAATGAACTTTGAAAGATAGGGTAAAAACATTTGATGTGTTTGCAATAAAAGCAAGGTGTATTCCAGAATAAAATGTTAATTTTTTTAAAATCACTATCATTAAATTATTGTTAAAGTTTTTAAAACAGCCAAAAAAATCTAAAAGTATGTAAGGCTTTAAGGGAAGAAAAGTAATTTTACAAATAAAAATTATTTAATTAATAAATAATTTTGCATTTTCTTCCAAGCAACATTATATATGAGATTCCTTTAATTTTGGCGGAATTTGCGAGTTCCTAAATTATAGAAGAAAAAATGATCGAAGCATTTATATTATATGTCTAATATATATTTTTTCTTAACATTTATACATTATTTTGCTGTTTTACTTTAGTATCATTTTATTCTCTTCAACACTAGAACGGACCACATTTGTAGCGACCTAGAATGACCATTGTGGTCATTTTGACCCCAATAAGAAAATACGACTAAGTATTTGAGTTTTAACACAACTATCATTAAAAAAAAGTTCAGACAAGTCCTTTGTTTTAACTTTAACATTCTAAAGTTTTGCAGTATTTTACTTTTATTTTTAAAAATAATATCCTCAGAAAACAATTATATAACATTTTAAATAACAGCACTTGATTTGACATAAAAGTACTTCATAAATATTTCTTAACACTGTCCACAAATAAGTTTTAAGCATGCAAATATTTAATTCTTTTAGTTTACGCAGGAAAAACAATGTTTATTACTTGAAGTTTCAAAAAGTTAAAACAACAGGCATGTCATTAGATAATTAGTATGGCATTCATTAAAAAAGGTTGAAATAAGGCTCTTGTAGAGTTTGTTACTTTAAAAACACGAGGAAAATTTACCTTCATTTTAGAAATGAATGTGCAATTTTCTGGGAGCTGTTCGTGTCTTACACAACTGTCTTATTTGATGAATACGCCATAATTGGTGGGATTGAAAACGATTTTTTGTGAGACATTTTTTAGATTTATAGGGAGGTTTTCAAGTTTCCAATTTTGCTAACATTTCCATACATGGTATTCAAGAGGCAGTATCTTTTTTTTTTTTTTGGTATATAGTAACTTTTTATTTTTTAGAACTTTTGGTGACAAGTGCACTTTGTAGCTTTGAAATTATTTGTGATTTAGCCATAGCATAGTAACAAGTCGGATTCATTAATTTCTTAACCTCTTTACCTTTTACTAGTTGCTTAAAATCAATCAAAAGATATATGGTCTGGAATTCCCAAACCAGACAATCTTGGAAATATGGTTTCAATTATATGATCAGGAGAGCAATCCAAAGTTTTGACCCTTTATTGTTGATTTACGTTTTGCATATTTCACCATATCTCAAAAACTTTTGAAGTGAATTAAAAGATTTTCACATTCAATTATAAAATTCATTTCTTCAAAGATAATTCCATGAAAAATGTAACTTTCAGTAAATATTTATAATTTTTTATTATTTTATTTCATAAATGTTGATAAATTAAAGTTGTAATGTATACAAATTTTCACATGATTTTAAAAAATACAAAATTTGAGCAAAATCAGTCAAATAGCTCCTGAGAAACTGAATTTTAAAAATACATCTTTTTTGACTTTTGGTTTCTTAGGAATTATTTGACTGATTACAAAATAGGTGTGAAAACATTTGGTATAATCCCCAGTGTGTAACAGATTAAATTAAAATAGGCTTCCAAATATTGGGAAGTGGTGGGATGCTACAAAGATCATTAACTAAATTTTTATTAATATTATGTTTACCTGTTGCACCCTGAAACTCCTCTGTTTATCTCCCCTTTTTATTTTCTTTTTTAAAACTTATTCCTTTGTCCCTATTGGTTAAACTATATTGCAGGTATTTGTCTCTTTGCTATCTCTTCCATTTTTTGGTGTTGAGACACAGTGTAAGATTCTTGCTTAAAAAGCTGAAACTAAACTATGTCCATTTATGTACTTCCATTTGTACTTTATTCTCTTTATTTTTTGCTTCAGTCTACATAGCTCAAAATATACCCTATCCTTTGTGTTGTTAATATGCAAATAAAATCTCATTTTTCCTCTCCTTCTCAAATAAGTTGCGCGAGTTGCGTGATGTAATACAACGACTTCCCGATAGGGGAAATAGATATATATTTGTTGAAGAAGCTGACTAGTTGTTGGTTGATTCAGATGTGTAGCACTGTGTGTGCGAACTATTGTTTCCTCATATTATGTTTTAATAAATACTTTATTTGCCGGCATTAGCCTCTGTGTTATTCAACCAAACAACACTTTGTTAAAAACTTAAAATGCTATTTGCAACAAAAGATTTGTCTTGTTTGCAACTGTTTCCCATTATACTTCTGTAAAATAATAGGCCTACTAAACCAAATAATATAACATGTTGTTTCATTTACTTATTTGCTGAATGCAAATTTAAAATGAGTATAATCTTCATTATCTAGTTTTTCTGCAGATTTTTAGTTGCAGAATATTATTCATTTTAATTTTATGGACTTAATAAAAATATCAATATAAATTTCCAATTTTAATTTTGTATTTATTCAACTATCACTAATTTATTTAAAATAGTTTTCAGAATTAGATTTCTGGATTATTGTCTGGAGTTAGATGTCCTTTTAAGCATTCACCTTTCTTTAGCAAGTATATTTCTCAATCTTCTATTTTCCTTGAATTAAAATTCTGCACAAAAGTAAAGTGTGTCATGCTTAAGCAGTTATTTCAGTTTTGATTTTTAAGAAACTGACAGAATTTCACTCTTCCATTTTCAAAGCCGTAATTTGCGCAATTTTTTTTCTTCCAGACTGCTTTTAATTAGGGGCATCCTCAAGATTCTTCTGTTATTCTTAAATCATTTCTGGAGTGTTGTCAATTGGATGTCCGAGTTAAGGAATTTGAAATTTTTGCCCTAAGAGTACCGACATGTTTACTTTTTTTCTCCCTTCCTCTTTTATTTCTCATTCTTTGTTATCCGTGATATATTGTGACAAATTATGGTTTCATAATTTTGGATAGTACATTAGTTATTACAAACAAAACATTTTTTTATTATTTTCCATCGTCTATTATGTTTATTTGATATCTATTAAAGAAAGGATATTTTTTAATTGAATAAATTCTGATTCCTCAGAATTGGTATTATTTGCAAACTTTGCCTTATAAGGAAAAACAATTGCTTTTATCAAAAATCTTCTGCTTTTATTTCTTTATAAAATATGAATTATTATTATTACAATTATTTATTACTGAAAGCAGACGATTCTTTTTTAAAATAGATTGCAGCTTTCTCTTTTTACAAGTGATACATCTCTGATTCCACTATGTTTCGATGTTTTTTCCGTTCACAATTCTGTACTCAATAAATTAGTTCTTCTTATTCATGAATGTGTGTTTATGAATTATGTGTTGATGAGAAAAGAATTTTTTTCTCTCTCTTTAAATTTTATAAATATTCTTTTTTTTTGTGCATAAAAATTACAGTCTATTATTTATTTGTGTACAAAAAGGAAAAAAGTACCTAAAAAAACTACTTATTGAGAAAAAAAAAATTCAGATTATCTCTTTTGTCTGATATGCCTTTTATTGTATATTTTTAATATTGTGAGACTTATAATCCTCAAAGTACTTAAAGACCGTGGGCCGATTTTTGAAATCAAAAGTTTCGTTTACCAACTTCAGTAACTACCTAAACTTTTTAAAGTCACATTTTTCATTGAACCAAAGTTTTAAAATCATAATGTCTCCCACATTCATAAAAAAGTCCCCTTTACAAAATTCCAATTTCTAAGAAGGGCCCCTTCACAAAATTTAAAAAAAAAGTCTTCTAAAAAACTAGAATTCATAAAAACAGCCCTCTCCCTATTAGAATGCATAATAAAAGCATAGTACAAATATTATTTTATCAAATTACTACATTGATTTAAAAAAATTTTGATGCTAAAGCGAAACATCGACTGCTGTGAACGAAACGTTTCTAAAACAAAAACATTTACTCCTCAGGGGTTTAAACTATGGGAAGTGATCTGCATAATTTCTAAGCGTAAGTGATTCAGCTATCTCTATGTAGTTCCTAATTATTAAGCTTACTCTATAGTTATGTGCAGGTGTTTTTAGGTAAACATTAATGAATTTTTGAAATAACTAAATTTCGAAACCAGAAACATTATAAATATGTAGTTATTAGGTTTGGTAAATGAAAGTTGATTTTTAAAGGCTTTCTGAGTTTCGGCTCACCGTCTATTATACTTAATTAATATGTGCTATCAGAGCTATTACGCAGTTCAAATTGTTTAGTTTATTTATTTTGAATTGCAAGGAATTTATTATTTTATTTATTCAAAAGAATAAAAACGAGTGAAATTTTTACTTTTCTGTTTGTTACCTTAAATTGTAATTGAAAAAAAAATTCAAAGTTTAAGAAAAAAATTATTAGATTTTTTTTATTTAAACTAAATTTTTGATGAATTTTCAATTTCACAAAATGTTTGATTGATATAAACATTCAGATGTTTTTACTGGATATAATTCTTAATATTAAAAAAAAAATGTCTCCATAATGAAAGAATTTTAGTGTAAAAAATATTTGAAAACAATTTTGAGTTAAAGAAAAGTTCATATATTGGAATGATTATTTTAAATACATTAATTGCAACATAAAGTTTCAAAATTACTTACAAATTAAAAAGCAAAGTTTTTAACACGTCTGCAATTTGAGCTTATATTCTGACAGGATTTGTTCATAAAGTTCAAAAAAAAAAATCAATGTTATATTTTATCTATTTAATTACATATATATATATATTTTTTTGTATAGTGAAGAGCAGTCTAGATTAGCTGCAAGAAAATATGCAAGGATAGTGCAGAAACTTGGATTTGAGGTAACAGCTCTCTTCATTCTTAGTTCATAAATCCCAGGACTGCCATTGGTGACTAAAATGGCAACTAAATTGACTAATTTAAAGCAATAGCAACTAGGGCGACTATTTTAGTAGGAATGTGAGTAAAAACAACTAATTTGCAATGAGTTGCGTAAAATTGACAACTTTTTCAAGCCAATTAGCGACTTAAAAGAAGAATAGCTTCATAAGCTTCCCTCTTCCCCCACTTTGTTGCCATGCTTTCATTTTATCCAAACTTTATTCTTCCTCACTGTTTGATGTCAAAAGCAAGACAGACATGTTTAACCAATCAGACTAATGGAATTGGAATTCGCACAACGTGAATGCTCGTCCTGCTTCAACAAGCTAATGTAATATCTCTGAGGAATACGTTTTTTCCCCTCTTTTAATTTGAACGAAGTAGCAAAATAAAAATAATTGTCTTTAATTACACAAAATGTGTACTTAATTTTTTTAGAATGATTTAGAGTAGAAAAAAAGGTACATACTGATATTCGTTCTGTCGAATTGTGATCCGTAATTTTTTTGATAAGCATTAAGTTTGGAAATGCATCAGTTATGAAAAATAAACAAAATAAAAACTTAATCGATGAATTAAATTGCAATATTTCTTTTTTTTTCTCTTTCAAATGTCTAAACTAAGCAGCTGCAAATTAGAGCCGAGAAAGGAAATTCGAGTTTCAAATTCACCTGTTCTGTAGCAGATAAAAATAAAACTCTCTGTTTTTATGCGTAGTGTGACAGAATAAGGGTCCAGCAGTTAATTACAATTTCGGATCAGTTTGTTTTGATGTTCTGTTGGATTTGGAATATTGAAGTATGCAGGGACCACAGACCTCCTGTTTTCCTTACTTTTTCTATTATTTCAGCATTCTTCCTTCCCCCTGTTATTTCCTATTTTTCTTATTTTTTTTAAATCCTCTCATTTCTGCTATTACTCATGAAGCTGCTGAAAAATTACGAGTAAGAGAGATCATGAAATTGAATTGGTTAAAATTTAAAAACTTGTTCTTGAAAGGAAAACAAATTTAATTGATTTTTATAATAAAAGCCCCAAGGAAATGTTAAAAAAAAAAATAATAAATTTCACATTTTATGCAAGCTTGTGTGTTTTTTCTTCACTTCATTTTCAATCGTAAAATTCTTAATTTTAATTTATTTGTACCTATATAATAATTTTCCTTTCATATTATTGTCTAAAATTATTTAAGTACTTTCAGATTTTGTTTATTATATGCTAAATTTTTATTTTATAGTAAGGTTAAAAAAATCTAAGTATGAAAGTAAGTGTCATTTCAGCTTCATTTTTTATAATGCATGAAATTTTTAGTCCCTAGCTTTTTTTTTTTGTCAGTAATTTTTTTAATTACAACTATTGTTTCTTATATGATATTTGAAGCTTTATGCCTCATAAAGAATAAAACTAAAAATAGATATTTTTCATATGTTCAAAAATTTCTACATCAGTTACTTCAGCATTCCTCTATCTATATATTGTTGGTAAATCCAAAAACAAATGTACATTTTTTATAAAATATGAGTATTTAACTGCATATTATTTTAATTTTATACTGCTACAGCACAAATAATTAAAATTAAGTTAGAGGAGGATATGATGTTGGCAACTATTTTATATATCTTGGTGACTTTTTTTCATATATGATGCAACTAAAGCAACTATTTTTCTTGTTTTCATTCAGTGGCAGCCCTGATAATTTCTATTTTAAGGATCACAAAATTGTGCTCAAATCTATATTAATGGATGTTATTTTATAAAAAATATTAATATTTCATATCTAATATTTTTGTGATCTGTGATGAAATGGCCAGTAAAAGATTAATATAAAAATCAAAGAAAATTTATCATTTGTTTCTCAAAACATTTTTTCTTTCATTTAAATCCAACCTGTATTTGTATTCAGGTATTATTTTCATTTTTAAATAATCCTTATGACCCCCCCCCCTTCTCTGATATGTGAACTTTTTAAAGTTTTTCTCTCTTTTTGACCTTGATGCTCCTACTTATATTACAGGGTTCCTGCAGTCCTTAAAATGCCTTTAAAACTGCTTAATTTTTATTTTGGAAAATAAGGGCCCTTAAAAGTACTTAATTTTGGTTAAAGGTTTTTAAAAGTCCTTAATTTTTTAGCGTCACTATGGTTGATAGAAACAATTTTTCAGTTCAATTTTTAAAAAAAATTTTTTTTTGCTCTTTTATCACTTAGAATTAGACCATGCATCTAGGGTAAAACCTTTTAGAGAGACAAAAGTTAATGTGTGTGAGGGGTGCAAGTAAGGGGAATAAAGCCTGTCCTTTCATTAATATATTGGTTCTTTCATCAATATATTCTGCCTTTTGCTTAGAATGATACTCTATGAAGAGAGTGGAAAAGGGGGATACTGAACTGCTTTTTTTTCAGGGGACGGGGGCAATTTTAAAGTACCTAAGTAGAAGACCCACACTAACCTTCAAAATTGACTTAATTCAAGAAATTCAGTTCTACTGGTAATACATCTGCTTATAGGAATTGAGTAAAACGCTAAGAAAAGAAGTATCTGAAATTTTTTTTTAACTGGATTCCATAATGAAATCTACTTCCTAAAATCTTGAAGAATTAAATAAATTTGTATAATATTTCAATGTGTAATAAGTAACTAAATTTATGGAAAGCATAATATTTTTTGAAATTCATGATTGTACTGAAAATTAAACAGATTTGTAAGAAACAGGGTTTGAAAAATCCCTGCCCACCTAGGTTTTTCAAAAAAAAAACCTGGGGTTTTTGGGTTTTGATGAGAACCTATTTTTTTTTTTTTTTCAACAGTTCTTTAAATTTTTTTCCTGAGTACTAAATAAGAAAGCATGATTGGCTTCTAACAAGAGAGTTACATATTTGGTAACTATTTATAATTTGTTATGTTGCAATGTAAAAGTTTTTTTTTAAGTTTTAGATTGTTACGCTGTTATTTTTATTTCTTAATGAAAAGCAGATTGTTACAGAAAAATTTTAATCTACTCAATTAAAAGATCTTTAGATTTTAATAATCATTTCATTCAGTTAACATTGCAACTTAATATACTGTTTTTAATTTTTATTCAATTTTTGGTTACCTTAAAATTAGTTCATGTTTTTCACCAGACTGTTTAGTCGCATTATCTAAAGTTAATTCCTAATAACAGGTTTGACTGGAAATAATTTTGTTTAAGTTCATCATAAAAGTTGTATAACTCATTTGCTGGTCTAGTAGCGAAATGTAAAAACTTGTTGAAATAATTTTTTCAGTGTTTTTGCCAAAATTCTTTATTTACTCTTTCTTCTTTAATATACATGAAGAAAATTGCAAATCTTAATTTCTGCACTTAATTTTACGATTTAATTTCAATGACATCAATAAAAATGGAATACAGATTAGTTTCATACGTTAACTTTTACAGTATGAACAATGTTAACTTTTTGCAATCTGAAAATGTTTTTTAAAAAAACTTGAACCGGGTTTTCAAAAATTGCCTGGTACTTCTTTAGCGAGCCCTGTTAATTAATATAAATATATCAGTGCTTACATTATAATAAAATTGTTTATTACTTTTTTTTTATTTATTGATTTTTTTTAGGAAGGTAAATAATTTGCACTGTCACTGGTGGCATTCGATGATAAACAATCATACTATTTTTAAAGTCCTTAATTTTTCAAAAGAACTCTTAATTTTTTCAAAGAAAGTGTTTAATTTTGCTTTGTTGAAAGAGTGGGAACCCTGTATTAGTAATAAGCTAATTAATTTATAAGAAATGCATGTTTTCATTTTAGTATTATAACCTGTTTTTATGACTTTATATTAATTCAATACACATACATTACAAAGTCTCATAACTTGAAACTTCTATTTTTAGGTACTTTTGAACACAAAACTAAACTTTTTCCTAAAAAAATGTTTTTTTTTAAATTTCTGGTTTGTATTAAGAATAGTTTTTTAAGGTTTGTAATACGTAGAAATTTTTCTTCTTACATTCTCTTGCTGCATTTTATTATGAAACATTTATGCTGCTTTAATGAGCACATTGAAAGAATTGTTGGGGGAAAAAAAAAACTAAAGTAGCTAAAGAAAATCAAGCTTCGAGGGAGAGGAATAAACTATGGAGGGTAATGAATCTGAATATTATTATTGTTTGAAAGAAACACCTTCAAAATGGCTTTGTCTTGGTTTAAATTGTGAATGTTTTCTTTAAAAAAAAATCTTACTAAACTCCATTTCTTGTCTCATATTATTTCTTCATTTTATTAAATAAGATTTATTTTCCCTTCTAATCAATTTACCAGAAAGTGCAGTGGGTTTTTTTTTTAAGAGAAATTTTTTTTAATTCATTAAGAAAGAAATTCAATTTATCCTCTGCTTGCTTTTTCTTTCTTTTTTTTTATTATTTTATTAGTGAAAATTTATTTTACCATACTAAATATTCTTTTGTTAATTAAATATCATTTAACTAACTAATTTCATTTAACAGTTTGCAGAAACAGAAATATGCGTATTCGTTTACAGGTCACCAATTGTATATGCTTCGGTGATGGGAATGTAAGACTTTCAAAAATGAAACAATATGGCAAAGAAACATCCTCTTTAATATTGAAAGATAACAAACCATCTACGAAACTTCACAAACTCCAATTAACAAGTTATTCTTTAAAAACATTAAAAGTTGTTATTAAAAGAACAATTAAAAACTTAAACTTTTGATTGTAAATGTCGCATACTGCAGGTGGGCGTCACCGGGAAGAATTGGGATATCGGGACGAAGTCTCGGACGCTGCACAACAACCTCTCTCGAAGGCAAACTGTCATCTGCTTAAATACTGGACTTCAGCCTTTTCACTCCCTGCCTTGGCCGCCGGTTGATGCTCCTCCGCCGGTATTCATCCGCGCAGGAACTATTTCGGTTCGTCCTCCTACCTTCGATCTTCGTTCCCATCCTCGATCCTTCTACCTCAGTTTTTCATTCTATCTGAGCTGACGCAACCAACAGCCTCTACAAGAATATGTCATTTTGAAAATATTGACATTAAATATCTCTTATATATTGTTATTTTATTAAATAATATATTTTTTGATCTTTGTTAATCTTCAAGACCTGTCATCCAGAATTTTTTTTTTTTTTTTACTTGAGGATTCTGCAAAATGGACATTCCACCGCATATTGAAAAAGTGGTTCAAGATATAAAATTTTCTTTCGTTGTTATTCCATTATTTTATTATTATTATTTTTTTCAATGTTTCACCTGAAATGTTATTTGTTATATTTCTTTTTAGGCAAAATTTTTAGACTTCAAGATCCAAAACATGGTGGGTAGTTGTGATGTAAAGTTTCCAATAAGGCTGGAAGGATTAGTTCTTACTCACAGTCAATTTTCAAGGTTATTTTCACTTTAAATTTTTCTATCTTTTGAAAAAAAATGCATAAATAGTAAACCACAATCTAATTCACTATTTTCTAATTTAACTTTATGTAATGTATGTGTTGAGTACAGTGCACAAAAAATTAAACAAAGCACCCAGAATTACTTTTGATCTTATTATTGGATTGTCACATGTTAGAATTCAATCTTAACGATACATAGCGATGACCTCAAATAATCTGATTTGCACAAACGATATTTTAATTTACAAAATCAACCGCAAAAACATATCTCTGATAGTGAGTTCAAGAGAGTGGTCCAAAGTATGGTTCCTTTAATTCTAATATTACATATTGGGTATTTTGCCATATCTCCAGAACTTTTCAAGCGATTTGAAGAAAAAAAATTGTGCACAATTATAAGATGTGGTTATCTACGAACTATTTTTTTTCATTATTTTATTTATTTGTAGTAAAAACAGATTTGAATTGTAAGGTATTTAAATTTTTACATTATTTTAAAGAGAGTAATTATGTATGGCAAAATACAAAATTTGTTCATAATCGATTTAATAATTCTTCAAAAATCCAATATTAACTGTAAAATTTTTTGAAATTTGATTTGTCAGAAACTATTTGATCAAATTTTGTAACATTACACTCTTTAAAATGATGTAAAATTTTAATGTTTGCGTTTCATAAGGAGGAAAACCACCCACGGTAAAACCTCACTGCTAGAAAACTCTAACCTATGATCCATCTAGGATATTTTTAGTCATCACTGTGGTCAGTGCAAGCTGGGTGTGGAATTCATATCAACCAGCCATCGCTGGGATCTGAATACGGTTCACTTTGCCACCATTGACTAAAGCTCATATAGGAATGGGGCGAAGGCAGATTTTGGATGCTCAGGTTAGATCTGAATAATTTCTAAAAAAAAAAAAAAACATTCAGCTTTATCTTAATTATTTATGCGTTAAATTATACTTTGGAACTAATCTGTGCCTGAATTTGTAACTCATTGGTTTTTAGTACCAGTTGCGAAACTTTTTAGAAATGCATTTTAGTTCATATGTTTAGGATGTTGTTTCATATAGTAAGAGAAAAAAATGTGAATTTGCATTCTTTTTTTTCTTCTTTCAGTTATGAACCTGAACTTTTTCCTGGTCTCATCTATAGAATGGTAAAGCCAAGAATTGTTCTTCTAATTTTTGTTTCTGGGAAGGTTGTGCTAACAGGTATCTTCATTTTGATTTAAATTTTTCTCTTTAAAGTATAATCTATGTGTTCTTTTCACTCACTGGAAGAGATATAGTAAATTACTTTTGCTGCTTAAAAAAAATTTTTAAATTGTAAAAAAATTCAACTCAGCTAAATTATTAAATCTAAAAATGTTATCATTAAAATCAATTTCTCCAAAAGAGTAGCTTTAGTGTGATTAGTAAGTATTTTTATTAAATTAGTAATTTTAGAGGATTAAGAAGCTTTGTTTTCCACAAAAGAAATTGTTACACAGAAGAGAAAACTTATGTGTGAACTCATCAAAATCTTAAAATGTGCCACTATCATCAGTATTGCCAAAAAAAAAATAGCTGTTAATTTCACTTTTCTATTAATTTTTGTAATAATATTTTTTCTATTAATAACAATAACTTTGTAAATTACCGTCATAATTGATGATTCTCCAAAACCTAACAACATTATGTTCAAACAAAATATCCCAAGTTTGACTTAGGCTAGAAAGTTTTTATTTTTTATATTTTTAAGATTTAATTTTTACCATGCATTTTCATGCATATAAAAAAGACTATTCATTCGCAATTTTTTAAATAAAAAAATTTGAAAATGACCAAAATGTCAGTCTCCTAGCCTGTCCCTAACTTTTTCTTAGACTTATTTAGATTTATTTAAAATTTTTATGCCACCATTTCTGTAATTAATTAAAGTATATTAATAAGCTATGACTACTCAAAGGTGTAAACTAATATTTTTGGAAACTGTTAAATCATTTAACTCACCAAGTTGTGTTTAAAAGTTTCTGACACTCTTCAGGTGCAAAAAATTTTTCTATAATCGAAACTTTTTAGTTTCTGTAAAGTTTTAATGGTTTATTCTTTGCCACCGTTGGTTTCATAACATTCTTTGAAGATCAGATTCATCTTATCATAGTTTTAAAGTTCTAAACTGATGTTATAGTTTCTGCTGTCACTTTTCTGAATAACATTTCTGTTATATGGGAAAACATTTACTTTTTTTTAAAAGGATGAACTTGTTTTCATGTTTAATGATGTGATGATTCTAGTAAAAGAACGTTCTGAAGCCTAAATTTATTTTAAAAACTTTGCAGCAGGAATAATATAAAAAAATATCATATTCTTAGCTTGTAAAAATGTCACTCTGTTTGCATTTTCTGATCCAGAAGATTAACTAATTAGCCAACATTGTTAAAGTGAGTTCCCTTCATTTTTCTCTCATTAAGCGTTTTATAGAAAGTTAGTATGAATTTTTCTGGATTTTCTTAAGGCACTTTTAAGAATTTGTGATTTGAAAATTTCAAGTTTTTGGAGAGTCACCCTAATGCAAATTATATTATAACAGATAAATTATGCAAAGTTGTTACTAGATACTAGAATTTTTGCTTGAATCTTTAACCATAAAGCTTTAATCAACTTTTTGTAGGTTAAAATGACTCACGTTTCTAATAAAGTAAAATTTATTTATTAACTATATAGAATTTAAATGTTTTATTCCATCATTTCACAGTATGATTGAGTATCACAATGGAGGAGGAGTTGTTCCCAAAACAGTCTAAGAAATTTCATCCAAATGCTCAGTACCAAGCAAAACTCTTTTATTTTAGAGTTGAAAGTTGATTTGATTAGAATTGATTTTTCCCAAGCAGCACCGTTTATTGCCAATATTATAGTCATAGCCATAGTAGCAGATTATTACAGCAGTTGCAGATTTTTTTTTAAAAAAAATAAACAAACAAAACAAGGCAAACAAACAAATGGGAGAAAATTGCTGAGAGACTCCCTATTAAAACATCTCTTAACTTATTTAGAATAAAAATTAAAAAGCCGAATTGAGAGAACATAGCAAGGAATTAAAAAATTTTTCTCCTGTTAGTTGATTACAGAGTTAACTTTGTAGGGATTTGTTCCATTTTTTAAGTATCATTGTTTAAAGTTCAACTTAAAAAAGCATAAAGTTTTTATGCATAATTTTTAAGGACCTTTTATTTGCAACATATATGTTAGATTCAGCTTTTTGAATCTATCTAACTGGTTGCAATCATTTTAGGTTTTTTGAAGATAGTATTGCAGATTTTGCATTCTGCTACCAGGGTCATAGCTATTGATTTCTTAAATTCAGAATTCATGAAAGCGGTGTCATTATTGCCCTCTTTACATGCACTGATTTATTACTCACTGATTGTTTTTTGTAAATTTTATTTTTCTTGAGCAGTTGAAAAAAAAAGCCAATAATTTTAATAAAAATTTTAGGAGTATTTTTACTTCCGATGAAATTTTTTAGGGGGGGGGGGGGANATTTTTGGGGGGGGGGGGGAATTTTGTGAATTATGCATCATCTAAATGCATCTTGCAAAATTTGATTATCCTGCTGTTTCAGTATTATTTATTCTAATGAGACCATATATTTGGTTTTTATAGATTGCTCAATAAACTTTTTTTTGTGATAATTTTTTGAAAATAAAACATTGGAAAAATAACACTGATTCTTAACTTCAGAAAATATAAAATTCTGAAGTAGAAAGCAGAATAGCTTACTCTATAGAATTCTACTTAATCCTTATTTCCACAAACAAATTAAATCTTCACTTTTAGTACGTCTCAAGAGATCTTGCACCTTCTTCAACTCAAGAATGTATTCTAGCACAATAGTCCGATGGTGTGCACTCTTTATTTTTTCAAGGTGAATTTATATTTGGACATAGTAATGCATATATTTAATATTTTGAAAATTTAATTTAACATTTAAAATTATTATTAATTTTCTGTTAAATATGTAATCAATTTAGTAATTATTTATTACAATTTCTATGCTCTGTAGATTTTTATGCATTTATTATTTAGTAAATAAAGTCCCTGTGTATCATTGCATTTTATTGGACAATGCTTTGTAATTTGGAGATATTGCTGCTCATAGTCAATCGTCAAGGTACTCATCAGTTATGATTGATTTGTTCTTTGAATTTATATTCAAAATGTTAGATTCACTCAAGCTTGGGCAATTGTTGCTGTACTTTGAATAAAAGGTTTCAACTTTATTCCAAAAATTCTCACCTGACTCAATCGATTTCAAAATAATATTATTCTGATGATTTCTATTTCTGAACCTGATCATTCATCATGGTTGAACTGCAGCTAGCAGATGTAAAAAAATATGACGGAGGAAATTTATTTGAACCATCGTAAAGAAATTTACAAACATTATCCGAATGCGTAGCATTTTCAAAAAGGGCTTAAAGATACTTGTTTTTGATTTTCATTTTTTCATAATCCTTAAAGGTGCCTTTTTTAATTGGGTCCTTAATTTTTTTCTTCTTCCAAAAATAAGATTCTTCTTAATCATGTCGAATTACACAATAAGTGGGATATTCAATTGGTTCCATTCAACATTCTTACTATTCATTCAACCGCAATCTACTTTGGCCTACTGTCGTTGTTTGCATGGTACAGAAGAGCAAATCATTTTATATGTTGTATATATTACTCGTGGGTCCTCATGCACGTTAACTGATTCAGTGGGTAGGATTCTTGTGCATACAACTTGCTATATTTTCATTTCAGGCTTTATTTCTTGCCCTTTGAAGTCAAACTGAAAATCTCTGAAATATTTTCTGGTCATGGGAATTCATTTTTCAATATCTTCGCCACCATGTCTTCATCACAAGCAAGTATGCAGCATACTCGCACTGCTCCGATCAGTTCTATATTACTTAAATGTGACTTGGGATCATTCACTAATAAAGTATCAGGGGTCTGTAGGGGCCAAATTTACTACCGTTTAGCTGTACCTTCACAAATTCAACTTTAGGAAAAACGGCTTTTCCTTAAAATTTTATTTTTTTATCCCGTAGGAAACGATAAATCCATATTTTTGTGTTGATTTTTTAATATAATTTTTAATTTTCACAAATTATGTCTAAATTTTCACAAAATAGGTGCCTCTCAGAGAAACCTAGACAGACCCCTCAGTATTTTCCTTCGGGTCCGGAACAATGAACAATTGCAGATCTTCATCACTTCGAGCACTTTGTGTTCCGTTTACTTGATTTAATGAAGATAAGAACTGAGATTTTTTAATTATGGGAATTTGTTTCTGATATATTTATATAAAATATTTCACTATTTTTGGATTTTTTTTCTAGTCTCATTTTACTAGATTGATTAATAAAATTTTTAGTACTCTGGGGTAATTTTTTAAAAAAAGATTCAATGAATTTTCGAGGCAAGATTTAAAAAAAAGTATGAATTGAAGGAATTATTATTGCTTTAATGTTTAACAGATGTTGTTGGAAATCTGAAATGATTCAGCTATATCATTTCAAAATACAGTGAAACCCCGATTTTACGTTTTCGGTCGGACCAGCGATAATAAACGCTCGAAGCGGAATAACGTAAAATCGGGATTAAGAAAAATCTATGCATATTTTTAAACATTTACACCTACCAGTTAAATTAATGGAAAAAATAAGTAATCTTTACTTCTTTTTTATTTTTAGCTACAATTACATCTACAGCTCGTTCAATACTAACAATTTTTTGCAAACTTGCTTCTTGATTTACATTTGCAAGTAAAAATTTTCACTTATTCAAAAATTCAAAGAAATCACTTATTCAAGGGATTTCTGAAGTAATGAGATCTGTGTCACAGTCGATGTATGCATCATCCACTTCCGGATGATCCTCAACTTCAGACACGCTACCTTCTTCCTCTTCCAAAACAACAGCGCCCTCCTCCTCCGATATTGAAAATCCTGCTTTATTGAATCCATTGATAATACACTTTCGGTTGACACTGTTCCAAGCTGAAGATATCAAGCTAAGAGCCTCAAGAACATTAATTTTTGCGTTAGAAGCATCCTGAAAGTCACCAGAATCAAGAAACATAAGAGATTTTCTAACCAGTTGCTTCCGGTAACTCTCTTTAAATGATCGGATAATTCCTAAATCCAGTGGTTGAAGTTTGCTGGTAAAGTTGGCTGGAAAAAACTCTATTCGCACGTTTTTCAATTTAAGGTTTAAAGGAGCACTGCATTGGTCTAGGAATAAAATTATGTTGCGCTTTTGAAAACGCGTTTTCTTATCCAGTTTTCAAAGAAAATTTTCAAATAATGCTTGCGTCATCCATGCTTTTTTGTTTGAAGCGTAATCGGTAGGAAAACTCTTGATATTTTTGAAACACTGTGGTTTCTCTGCTCTACCGATCACAAGAGGCATTAACTTTTGGCTTCCATGAGCATTTGCACAGAGTAAAACAGTCAAGCGAATTTTTGAAAGCTTTCCTCCATGGCAATTTTCACCTTTGATTGTCAATGTCTTGTTTGGCAATAGGTTGAAAAACAATCTCGTCTCGTCGGCATTAAATATGTCACTTGGATTATAGCCCTTTAATAAATTTGGCAGAGTTTCTTCTTTCCACTGTTGCATAGTTGTCATATCCACACTATTGAATTCGCCACAGATAGATTTGAAGCATAAATTGTTCCTCTTTTTTAATCGAGCGATTCAGCTATTTGATGCACTGAAGCCCTGGAGTTTAAGCCTTTCAGAAATTTCAAGCATCTTTTCTCTCAGGATGGATCCATTTATAGGAATCTTTGCTGCTCTGGCTTCCTTGAACCAGTTCATTAAAAAAATTTCTAACTCATCATACGGAGATGTTTTAAGGGTTTTTCTCTTCTTGGTATATTTTCCGAGTTTTTCAGCGTTTAGTTCTACTGAAGCTTCTTGCTTTAAAATCGTTTGCAAAGTTGAATAACCGATACCCAACGATTTACCAAGATCAACATTAGTGCCATGAAATTCTTTAGCTTTTTCGACGATTTCAGCCTTTTCGGCCGGAGAAAAGCATTTTCGTTCCGACATCTTCTTTCAAGAAAAGAACATAATGACTGAGGTTTCGAAAATGAGAAAAAATGCTATAGCTTTCAAACTGAAACAAAACCGACTGAAAATCTCATTTGACATGCTAGCACAGAAAAATTAGTGAAACCATTTTTCATGGGGGAGAATTGAAGAAATGGCCACACCTCTCTACTCAAAGTGACTTATCTTCGTATCGCAAATAAACAGCGTCAGTAAGACGTCTGGAGTACATATGAAACTCGATCATTATTGACAGTTGTCTCTCTAATACCCCCTCTTTCTCTTTTGTTGAGAGGGAGCGGGGGAGAATAGAAGGCGTAGATGTCATACTTCCATCACCTGTGGTTTTGGGGTTCCAGTGAATTGCATCTTCCCCCACCCTTCCGATAGTGACAGAGTGGAAACTTCACCCTCCCCCCCTATTGACAAATGGACAAAACGGAACAGAAAGAATGCAAGAATTGCTCCATACAGCTGAAAAATAAGTTTCTCTTGTTCAAAAAACTAGAAAAAAGTTTGTGTGAGAATTGTAGAATAAAAAAATTATTTTGATCTGTTTGTAGAAAAACGCGTCAAGTGGGGTTTTCATAAAAGGGATAACTCAAAATCCTGGATTTTTTAACATTATTGGTATTGGCAATTTTCACGGATCAGCAGAAAATGACGTAAGAAGCGGGATAACATATGAAACGGACAACGTAAAATCAGGGTTCCACTGTAATATTATTTATCTCTTTATCATTTAATTTAGAAAATAATTGGAATTAAAAATTGAGTGTTCAGATTTTTTAAGTGTGGTGAAAATAGGGACCATAAGGTAATTTAGGAATAAAATTAATCTTTTTGTATAATTTAGTAATATAATTATTAATATAAATGAGAGAATGAGCAACAATATTTTAAATGGCATGTAAAATGTTTTTGGTGGCTTATAAAATCAAGAATAGAGTTTTCTGCCAGAGACTAGTTAATTTATCATGACTCCGTAAGTTTCGTAAAATCTGAAAAAGTTTTGACATTTTGTTAATTTTATGTATGCATAAATGAAGAACTTCTGTCTAAAGGAAAATAATATTTTTCTTAGTGTGCATATCCTAATTAAGATTTTCTTTTCCTTTGAAATGCTTAGAAAAACTTCTCTTTTTTTTAAATTTTTGCTATGTACCTAAATTTCTAACAAAATGCATACACGAGACTGTGACTTTCCAACATGGATACACTATATCTTATTCTCAATAATGAAAAGGTTATCAATGTTTCCCCATCTTTTTGCTGAAATGGCTGTGATTAAGGGGACTTGACCCACAATCTTTTGAGACTTAAAAGAAATACTAAAATTAAGAAGTTTGTATTTTGGAAATTAAGTCAAAATTTGTTCAGTTTCTGAATTGCATCAGCTCCTGATTTCTACCCGGACAAAATAATCTGTTTGTCCCTTTTTTGACTCATGAGGAAAAAAGTATTTGTCTGCTCGGGGAAGTTCTCCTTTCAAAAAAGCTTTATAATCCTCTAGCTTGATTTGGTTTATTTTTGATAAATTCAGTCAACAGATAGTGTAGGTACCCTGCTTTTAACAGGCAAGTTGACTCAGGCCATACACTCTCGTCATAAATGAATGGGTCAGTATTTATATTCTGTGAAATAAACTTTTTATTTTCATCATAATATGAATTTCTTTTTAAGTTCTTAATTCCTTTATTTGGAAGGAAAGCATGTTGAAATTGGTAAAATAATAAGGTAAAGGATTTTTCAGATGAATACAGTTGTTAATTCAATTCATTTGTAAATTGTGTTTAATATATCCTGATAGTTCTGAAATTGCTGCTGAATGCATGGAATTTAATGCATGGAATTTATTATTTTCTAGAATGTTATAAATCTTTGAGAGATAAAGTGCATAATGCATTTTAATAAAATGACCACTTTCCTTGCAGGTGCAAAAGTTCGTGCTGAAATTTATGAGGCCTTTGAAAACATCTATCCTATATTAAAAGGGTTCAAAAAACAATGACTTTCACATCTAAAGTGATCCCTTATATTGTACATAATAAATCCTATTTGTAAATAGTTTCATTTTTTATGCATAAAATCTCTTGTATCATTTGTAATTTCATGTTTCTTGTATAATGTTTAAATTTATTCTCATTTCACTTTTTTCCCCTTCTTAGATTATCTTTGCCTTTTATTTTCTTCTTTCATATTATGAAAACAAGTGATAATTAACATTGATGGAATCAAATTTTAGTTTCAAACTGATAGCAATGTTATATGATATTCTCTAGGAAGCATTCTTTACTAGATTAGAAACTGTAATCTAACTTTAAAATTATTAATATATAACAGGGATGCACAACCTTTTTCCAGCAGTGAGCCATGAAAACTACAACATTGGAGGTCACAATTAATATTATGCTGTAATTATAAAAATGAAAGAAATATTTCTATTTTGTTTAAAAGTAATATGCATGAGTTACTGTTACAAATGTACAACTCATCTTTTGTTTCTGTGGAGATAATATAATGATTAATGATGTTTATGAATTTCAATTTTGCCTATAAATTTACAGTAATTTTAAGCAAATTGTAATAAATTTATAGGCTCATAACAAGAAAAGTAACTGATATTTACATTTATCCTAAAAGTTAACTTTTTTTCTATTCAAATATCAATATTTGTTACTAATACAGTATCATATTCATGTCGACTATTGCTAGAATTTTGAAATTAGTTACAATATAGTCTTAGCTTTAAGTTTATTTGTGCAAATCCTTAAGTAATTAAATTTCACTGAAAATTCTGAACCCTTTGTATAAATAGAACTTTCATTACAAAATGGTCACATTCAGAAAGGCTCTAACTTTCTATTACAGAACATGGCTGAGAAAAATTTCTGTTAATATTTTATTAACATTTTCGACAGTTAAAGAACCAAGTTAAAAGGCTTTAAGGGCCACTTTTGGTCAATAGGTCATTGATTGTGCATCTGTTTTATTAAATAACTGAAAGGTGTTAAGAGGCAAAACTAAACAGGAAGAAAAAAAGAGAAAATGTGAAAACATTAGAATAGCCGCTAATATAAAGGCATTTATAATTGTTTGTGTGTGTGTATATATATATATATACAGCAAAATAAATATTTAAAAAAACGCGAAGAAAATTAAGAAATAATGCGGATTTATTGCCTTTTTTTGCGGATATAATCGTGTGGGCTGATGAAAAGATTATATCTTTTATTTTCCGGATTTTTAAAAATTTTTTTATCCTTTCCCCCCCCCCAGTTTATTTTTTTATTATTATTTTTCTTCCCCCACTTTTTTTTCATATGTCTGTAATTTTCCTTTGTTTTATCTTCATATATATATAAAAACATTGTGTTGTGATGATAACATAAATGGTAAAAGCAGTGTACTAACTGTCATGAAGAATCAAGGCTCTATCTTTGGTGATTAGTTAGTTAACCCAATTGGTTAGTTCACTCAAAGTTCACCCAGCTTCAGACAAATGGGTACTATGCTTGCCGAAAAGTAAAATTGGGTTGCAATGCTGTAAAATCTAGTGGAACAGTTGGGAAATTGTTAAAAAAAAAAAAAATCTGGGAATTATACATTTTTGAGCCAAATTCTAAAAAAGTCAAAGAGTTTGAATTAACCAACGCTAAGCATGCAACGTTTGCACCAACGCAGTTACTGAGCTAGAGCTTTTTTCCTTTTTTTGCATGAATTAAAATATAATACAATGTATAAATGATAATTATTAATTTTTTGTGATTCACTCTGTTTTATCCACAGTGCTGCTAGTACATATTGTGACACTAGGTTGAAATTTTTTTAGCGATATCTGGAAAAGTCAGAGAAACACATTTGAGTTGTCACTCCCGTAAAAGCAGCAGATGTTGCCACCAATAGGCCATTGTGCAACCTTAACCCTCATGAACCCCTTAGACTTGACAAAGTACTTAACTTTCTGAAAATTTAAGTGTATGGTGAAAGAGCTCTCTGGCTCTTCTGAGGTCCTTTCAGTTTATTGAACAGTTTATTGTCCTTTCAGATTATATTTACCTCCCTTGAATTTTGATGATTCGTTCTAAGTTATGTGTTCTTGCCTTGTTCATGGCTAGCTAAGGTTGATCAAGTTTTTAAATGGGGGAAGTACTCACCTCACTTTCAATGCTGGAACTTTTATAAAAACTTCAAAACTAAATAATGCAAGCTATGTATTTGATTCTTTTATAACACTGTTGCCCCCTAATCAAAGATCTGTTTCAATGCAAAATTGAGCTTTTTTTCCCTTCTCACTTTTAAAAATCGTATGTTATGTATTTTAATTATGTTTTGAATGTTATTGTTTTTATAAGCATAATAATTATTGGGAATCTGTGGCATCAAAGTTGACAGCCTCATTCTTACAATAAATAAAACAATTTATAATTGTTTTTGATTTAAAAATGTAATATATGTTTATTGAAATCACCAAAACCAGTTAAAGTAAATTGTAACTATTGTTGCAATCACCAGTTTTGAAATTGTCTAATCAGAGTAAAATAATAATATTTTAAAATGGTACCATTTTTTTAAATTTTAATTCTGTAAAATTTTAATAGCTCTTAAAACTTTATCATATCATACAGGTGCATATTAAAAAGATGTTTAGAGCATTCTATTGATGAAATTATCAATTCAACTCATTGCACCAATTAATCATTATTGTTCAGTTCTTTCTTTTACTTGCTTTAATTTATATTTGTATTAATTATTGCATGAAAATAGTTGCAAATTTTTTTTAAATATTTCTATTGTAAAATTCTTCGAAGGAAAAACCTGATTTGGAAGAATATGCTAAGGATTATCATCATTATTTAATTTATACGGTAACATATTTGAATAATAAAGTTTTTGTGTTCGTTTGTATTTTCTGTTGTTTAAATGTGATATCTTTTAAAGCTTAAAAGTTGTTATTCATGAAATCCATAGCCATATTTTTTTATTTAGTCTGTCATAAAAGCTTCTCATTACTAAAAAATGCTTTTCCTTGAGCCATGTAGTTCCTTTTTTAGTAAATTAAGGAAATAGTATTTATTTAATTTTAAATGTCAAGTGCAATAATTCATGTATGTATTAATATAACACATTGTGTTATCTATAAAAGTTGAGTATTTTATAATTAAAAGAGATCTGGTAAAACTTCCCTAGGACAATATAACTCAATTCTTAAATTTTAAGGATTGATTTGTTAATACATGGTCAAAGTTATGGGTCGAGAAGAAATTAAAAATTTTCAGCTTCTAATTTTTAATTTCAAGCTGAAGAAAAATAACCATATAAATAAATAACTTATGATAAGAAAAATAACTATATTCTTTGAAATTATCGGATCCTACTTAGCTTTTAGACTTAATGCTGGAAAAAATATTCACTTCAAAAATTTAAATATTTTTAAGAACTAATATGTATTACTTTAATGTTTTAAGACTTTATGATCGTAATTAAAGATGTCAAGTCTCGGAATGATTGTCGTTATATTATTTTTTTACTATTTTGTAGGGATTATCAGTTGGCTAAAACGAAACTATTGGTGTTCGCCTAACCATTTGACCGCTGTGAGTTCAGGTTTAAAACACAAACGTTTTTAAATAATTGTTATACGAGTCACAAAATGCAAATGAATGAAAATTATTTATAATAAAAAAATGGTTTATCTCCTATTTTAAATAGATTAGTATTTTCCAATTTTAATCAAATTCTGCAGATTTGAATAATAATCTTTACAAATTAATAATTATGTAATTAGACAACAAAAGTATTTACTTTTCTAATAGTTGACTCGGTGCAGTGCTTATTGAACAATCACCACCAGTTATTTCTAGTGCGTAGTTTATTTTTTTAAAGACGCGATTTTTAGAGTTTTAGTATATTTCTTAAGTAAAATAATAAGCATTTCTTTCACTAAGTGGATTAAAAAAATTATTAAAAAGAAATTCCTATTCATGAGGAATTTGCAGTAATAATACAGGACTGATTTTTCATGTACCGTGATCCAGAAGTTTCCGGAGATCGAAGGTTCAGACGTTTCAAAAGATCATTGATCACAAAAGTTTCCGGAAATCAAATTTTGAAAGGTGAAACTTTAAAACACATTTTATTTGTAAGGGAGAGCTAGATACTTTATAAGCTTTATATTTAAGATTAATATAAATTTTTTAGCGGTAAATAGTTATTATAATCATAAACTCAAGAAAGAAAGACATATTTGTTAATTTTAATTACTTTTCCACGTTAGTATGTGTAAATGGTATAAGTATGTGTAAAATTTTTAATATATTTTAAGTAAACTAAGAAAGATTGACAAAAAGGGAAAAAACCTTGTTTAAATTTTTGTTCCATTTAAATTTTTTTCTTTTCTTTTGTACTCAAGAAATTTTCCGGAATTTTGACTTGGGCTCACAATCACCCCTGATAATAACAATTTATATTTTGGAAAAAATGCTCGCTACCGCTCGCCAACTCTCGTAACTCTCTACGAGGTTGACTTCAGATTTGCTTTGCGATCTGGGAAGGATTGCTTATAAAGTAGTAGTAAAAAATCAAAATATTTGAGTAAATTGATATTCGTTCGGGAGGGGGAAGATAAGCGTAACTTTACAATTTATCTAATCTAAAAGTAATTAAAAATGTAAGCAAAATAAGAAGCATTGTTCATCTTCAATTGATCGGTAAAAGAAATATAATTTTACTGCTAATAGTTTTCACTGAACAATATTGGAGAATCCTCTCCCTGTTGGCTATCACTCTCCAGCCCTTTCAGATCCGCTTTAACTTTGTTTTATACCTCTGTTTTTTTCTCTCCAATGTATTTTGTATAAATTATATTAGATGCTTCGAAGTTGATTTTTATTCCTTTGTACTATTTTTTAGAAAAGCTTAGTTAAGATTTTACTGTCCCTCATGCTTATTTGTAAGGACAATTTATTCGTTCATTTAAGAAAAAATGAAAAAACGTTTTTGTGAAATTTTTTTCTAAGGATTTAATAACGTTTTTTTTAGATTAGTATTTCTAAATATCTTAAGATATTGTCTAAGCAATTGCGCTTCTTTCATTACAATTTCAACTTTATACTATGAATTGTTTAATTTATCTCGAAAGAGTCAATAATTCGAAATAATTTATAAATTGTATAGTTACTAGCAGATTCTAATTTATTATGTATGTATAGCATAATTCACTATATTAGCATTGCGTCCATGATATCCCAATCCAAGTTTGAGAATGAGAAGTGCGCATTTCAGAAAGATAGCTCATCCAAAAGCTATTCTGACATCGGTGGACTTCCTTTTCTGTATGAATTATATCTGCTTGCAAGTTTCGGTTTTCATTGAAATATTTCTTAGTTAATGGGGAAAAGGGGTTTTACTATGAATTTGGATCGGTGGCGGTATCACTTTTTTCGGTTGGGGGAACACGTTTTATTCTTAGTATGTAATATTGTAAAATAACGTTTTCGATTTGAATGATCATTTCTTTAAGTTTGACAAGCAATATATTTTCTCCACCCTGTTGGACATTGGAAATTTTTCTTTATAATTTCAATAATTTATTTGGAAAAAAATTATTTGGCATTTAAGTTATAAATATAAAAATTTGACTATTTTTAATTGATATGTCGTCGCATGCATAAAAAAATTTTGCAGTTTTATTTATTTTTTGTATAAAACATATGTATATTTTTTAATTTTACCATATAGACATTTGGTTCATCATATCATTAAATTTAACAGTAAAACTTTTGTGCTCAATCTTCGATTACGAATGCATTTAATAAAACATATCTATATCGCAAGTTAAAAACTTGATATTATTTGAAATTTTAAAATACATTACTTAACGTTTATGAAAACGAAATATAATTTATAATTTAATGAATTTGGTCGATTTTCTTACTTATTTCTTTAAACAAAGATTAGTGTGTATCGAATTTGTTCGAAAATTGAATTTATTACTACTATTTTGAAAGTAAAAACAAAATTTCTAAACATTTGGCAGTTTTAAAATTAACATAATTTAAAACTCCTTTTTATATGTTAACATTGATTTCTGGTTCAGTTGCTGGATATTTTCAACGTTCACTATTAGAATGAACATATCCATGCATTCTAAATTAAAAATTTTATGATTTTTCTCACATTTTTTAATGAGATTTAAGATTGATGATAAGATGAGATTAAGTTACTTTGAATTTTCCTCGTAATGTACTTTAAAATCGTCACCTTTTTTTGTTTTGTACTTTTGCTTGTACTCGTTACTTTTTCAAAATCAAAACTTTTTACTTTTGTTTAAAGTACTCGTTCTTTTACTCGTTACTTTTTAAAAGTAACGTTCTCATATATGATGGTTTCCACTTTTAAATCTGAATTATTTTCAAAATCCTAAGGGAAAAAATCCTCCGACCTAAACGTATGATATTTTCTTAAATTAAATTTAACACTGCCTTCAGTTCAGCAGAAAGTTTTAGAAAAATTGTTTCTTCGAGAATTTTTTTATAACAAAATATTTTAACAATAATTTTTAAAGCTCGTATTATATTACCTCTGTATGTGTGATTGTATCAGTCAGGAAATGACTCTCAATTATTATTTCTTGATTTCAATTTAAGTTGTGAGTATATATTGTAAGTGGAATTAAAAATAAAATTTTTTTTAAAAAATAAATTATGAAGAAAAATTTAGTTTGATTTTTGTTTTTATTAATATATATAGTTAAATTTTGATGCAAGAGATATGCCATTTATAAAGATTTTAATTACCATCTGACACAAATATCTGCTTTTTATTTAATAAAGGAACCCTTATTTTCAAAAGTGAAATAAGTCCACTTATGAGGGAAAATTAGTTAATGGTAAATTTATTATTAGATATCCTCTTTTTCTATTGATATGGACGAAAACGTTTTTGATGATGTTATTTTCCAAACATGTTTTACATTTGATGTAACCTCAAAAGCTTTAACAAATCTTTTTTATGCTATTTCTTTTTTCAATTCATCATTCAGAACGAAACCCGTTCTCATATTTGTAATTAACATCTAACATTCAATTTTATATTAAAGAATGTAATAATTATAATTTTTCCCCTTAAGTAAAAATAAAATCATGGGGGAAACTTCTCACTGAGTATTCTAACCTATCATAATTGTTATATTAACCCTTGTTAGACACGTGATTGGGATTACGTGTGAATTTCCCCTTTTAAAATCCCTAAAGCAAAAGATGATGTACTGTGATTTTGTTGTTTTCACTATAATGTTTAAATAAAGATTCTTGCTTTCCTCCTGCCGGCTTGACATGTTGTGGACGTTCATAGTCGAGTGTTTTGAATGTAGCAAAGTGGACAGAAGGATTTGTTGTTAAGTTTAGCTGTTAAAGCTTTTTCATGTTTTATTAAAGTTCGAGATAATTATCTAGTTTTTCGGATGATTTATGCAAAAACAGTTTAATTTATGCATGAACTCTTGATTTTAAAAATCTCAACATACTTTAGTGGTGGTAAAGACTGTTTAAAAAAATCATCAAAAACTGAAATTTAGAATAAAAGAAAGAAAATGATGCAGGATTGTGAATCCGAGAGGAAACGTTTTTGTTCCGAAGTTACTGAATATCTCAGCTCTTACATGCGGCTAGAGTGCTCAATTTGATTTGATAATCAATCTGATTTCTAATTCAATATTTCGAAAACTGTTTCTCCTTCCTATATTAATCTTTCTCACCTAATTTATTTCAATGCACTTATCTATAGTTTTATAGGATGTTAGAAGTTATTCTTCTTGTAAATAAATGAAAAGCACATATTTTTTAAGCAAATAACACATATTCTACAAGAGTTTATTATGAACCCTGTACACAATACAAAAAATAAACAAAAGTTTTCAATGCTAAAAATGTCACGCGCCAGCACTGTTATTCCTAAATTTTGTTAATCCGTAAAAATATTAAATATTTCCCTTTAACATGCATATGACACATCTCATATTTTTTTTCAATGTTTTAACGTTAAAAATATAAACATTTAGAACTCAACATGTACATACAAGTCACACATATTTACATTACGTTATTAATATAATTCATCTCTTTAGTTTAATTTATACATATAATCAAATTTTAAAAATATTTTACCAGCATTTCGGAAAACTATGATTAACTTGGTGCAGAAATCTAATGAAATGTTGATTGGACAGATTTTGAAGCGCTAACTAAATTTTTATCTCATTTAATCTAAAATGCTATAGTATCTTCAGATGCTTTCGCTCCAATAGGAGCTCTGCATTAGCGAAGTTAATCCATCTAAACTGCTTCAGAATCAAAACAATAGAATCGCAAACAGCAGGAGGTTGCTTTCTACAATAACCGAACATTATTCCATTTCTGGTTTCATTTATAAGAAAACTAAAAGAATGTGTGAATTTAGACATTCTTTTCGAAAGAGTATAATTGTTGCATTCCGAATTAATCGAACTGCTTGAAGTTACATTTAGGGGATTACTTATCCGAAATATTTTATACGGAGAAGAATCCGAGTTACAATATATGCAATAGATTATTTTTGGTGAACTTTTTTTTAAACAAATCTAATTGTGTATGCGTTGTCTGAATTTCGCTTCCATATGTTAAAACGAAATCACGAACAAATAATATTTTTTTTTTTGCATTCATTCCATATTTTAGATCGATTCATTTAATATTTTAAAATTGAAATGTAGTTAAACATAATAAGAAGTTATATGTCTATCTAATGTTTTCATATTCTAAAAGAATTGCTGAAATCCTAAAGACAATGAATCTGTCAATAGCTGATTAGTTGGATGTCATCTATTAAAGAGTAGCTTTTAGTTCGTAGAATTTCAAACAAGAAGTGATTTCAGAGACATTCTTTTTAAAAGCAGGTCATTCTAACTTTTAATAACTCTACTGTATCTTTCTGATATCTTAAAAATCATCGATGTTTTTTTTTTTTTTTTTTGTAAATTGTGGCAGCTGAAGAGAAAAATAGTTTGCTAATATATATTATTTGATTGTAATGTCTGAAGCAGCATCAAAACATGAATTAAATTATTCCAAAATGCGTGCATTTTTGTGCCACTTCGATTTAAAAAAGTTGTGCTTAATGATGTCATAGGGGAACAACACTATCAGTTCTCCTTCAAAAAATGACTGAGCTCATGTGTCTTCTTTTTGAATGACAATTATAATAGATTTTGCCCTCATTCCTAAGAGAGAGAGAGAGTTATGTGTATAATCAGGTCGTGTGTTGTTTCTCGTCTCCGTTGTTTTTGGAGGAACAGAGAAGAAGTCCATTATTGTTGCAAGTGTCGATCTCCTCCGGATCAAATATGAGTTCGAGTCCACTGTCCTGCATCTTCTCATTGTACAGCTTTGTGAAGTCGATGTTCTGTTCTTCGGTAAAATAATTTTTCCAGTCTCCGATAATTCCTGCAAAAGAAAAATTAATTCCTTATGAACTTAATTATAATTTCACCGAGAAAAAGAGATTAGAATAAGGTTATAAGTTAGTTGCGTCGTGAATTTCCGGAAATTATTAAAAAAATATGTGAATTTTTTAAGATGCTACAATTTGCGCTAAATTAATAAAAAATGAGTTTTTCTTAAAAAAAAAATTCATTCTTTATATTTTATTAGTAATTAATATACATGGCCCCACAGGTGAGGATGAACTGATCGTAAAGACGCGATTTCCAGTAGAACACCTAAGTCAAGCACGTTGGCAGTGAGCGGGTAGGTGACTCACTTTGATTAGAGTGCCTAGAGTAAAAGAGTGTGGACAAGGGGGAAACGATTCCTGATTGGTGGAAAGAAAAACTTTACCGCCGGAGGCGGCCTCAAAAAATTTATGTTTTGCATTAATAAAGGCATGTAATAAGTTCATCACTTACTTTTTTTCAATGAGAAACTTCACGGTTACAGTAAATATGAAAATTATGGCTGAAAATTTGGATAGTTATTAGTCATTTGAATTTATCCTTATTATTACTTACTTGCGTGCATATAAAGTTTTGTTTATCTCATTGTAAAGAGAACAAGGTGATAAAATAACTTATGATTACATAAGAATAAATGTATTTACTTTTAATAAACATAATTTCGATCTAAATTACTTATAAATTTTAAGACTTGAGCTTCTTTTTATCAAAACTTCAGAAGTGTAGAGTTTGGCGATATGACTTTAAATTTTTGGGGCGTTACAATGTTCGCCAAGTAGCATTTGCTTACTTTTCGTTACCAACTTGATTAAATACTAGTTTGTTTTAAATTTCAACTAATTATCGAAATTTTTGTTTACAATTTGTTGAAATCCATACCATTTTAGGTGAATATGCGATAATTTTTTCCTGAAAAAGTAATAAATAATGATAAATTATGTTATTTGTTTTATCGATTATTATTTCTGAAATGAATAACATAATCATTATGAATTTTTATATTTTATTTAAGGCATTTATTTAAAGCTGAAGTCTTTTCATAAGTCGTTTTTTTTTTTTTTTTCTTT